AATTAATTTTTATATATTATCATACTAATTTATTTTTTGTTAATTTTATTTATTTATTTATATTGTTCTTTTTATTATTTATTTATTTATTTATTTTGGGCATGACAATTATCATAAAAAAGAAAAAAGAAAAAAAGGAATCAAAAAACGAAAGAACAAACAAACATGGCAATTGTCAGGAGTGAAGGCAACGAGGCTTGGCGTTTGGGCTGTGATTATCATTATCATTTACCAAGCCTCAAGGGCCCACTCTGTATTAATGGATCTTGACTTTATTTTCTACAGTGGAGAGCCCACACCATACATTTATTTTCTATAGTGGAGAGCCCATCACGACATACAAGTGGACAACTTATTCTTTTCTCTAATAGGAGGCAATATTAATTGGGTAGAGAAATAGAATTGCAATTTTCTGGAAAATTTCATATTAAATATCACATTGCTTCTCTTGGATTTCCATAGAAATTAATCGCTTTCCGATTCAAAATTCAATGGCTCGGTTTATCTTTCTTTTCCTTGCCTTTCTCATTTTGATCACTAATGTTATTAGCATTTGCAATGGCAATTCTGTTCATGCGGTTTGCATTGAGGGCGAGAAAGAAGCCCTTTTGAAGCTCAAGCAAGGTATCGTGGATCGCACCAACCGATTGGCCTCTTGGGTTTCCGATGGAGATTGTTGTGGATGGACGGGAATTGTCTGCGACAACATGACTGGTCACGTCATTGAACTCCACCTCAGAACTAATCCTCCATGGGACATCAATTACCATGTGTACGATTATGAGGCTGATGAGGCTTACGAGAGATCGAGGCTGGATGGTAAGATAAGTCCTTCTCTGCTCCATTTGAATCATTTGAGTTATTTGGATCTCAGCAACAATGATTTTGGAGGAATTCACATTCCCAAGTTTTTTGGTTCTTTGGGGAGCTTAAGATACCTTAACCTATCCCGTGCAAATTTTGGAGGGGAGGTTCCTCACCATCTTGGGAATCTCTCTAATCTAAAATATCTCAATCTTGGGAATAATTATTATCATACCATGTATGTTGAGAATCTCTACTGGTTGTCTAGTCTTTCTTCATTGGAATACCTTGATTTGAGTTATGTGAACCTTAGCCAAGCCTCCAATTGGTTTCATGCATTAAATACACTTTCTTCTTTGGTAGAATTACACTTGTCGTACTGTCAACTTCCCTATCAGCTTTATCCCATTGTAAGTGTAAATTTATCATCTCTTGCAACCCTTTCTCTTTCTCATAATTATTTCCAAAACTTGTCACTTATCAATTGGGTTTTTGGTCTCAAGAACCTGATTTCCCTTGATCTATCAACTAATTATATTGAGGGTCCAATCCCTTCTGGTCTTCGAAATTTGACCTTGTTGAAGCACCTTGATTTGTCATACAATTATTTCAATTCTTCAATACCTAACTGGTTGTACACTTTTGCTCCTCTTGAGTCTCTAAATCTTGAGTTTAATGATTTGAAAGGTCAAATTTCAAGTGAGATAGACAAAATGAAGTTTATTGTTGACCTTGATTTATCCTATAATAGTTTTGAAGGTAAAATCCCAATTAGATCATTAGGAAATCTTTGCAACTTGAGGTCACTCTCTTTCTCCAGTCTTAATTTGAGTCTAAACATATCAATTGTCTTAGAGGTATTTTCTGGATGTGTTTCTAATAAATTAGAGTCATTGTCCTTAGATGATTGTCAGCTCTATGGACAATTAACCATCCAACTAGGGAATTTTAAAATTTTGAGAGAGTTGGATTTGTCCAAAATTTCTATCTCTGGTTCAATACCAAAATCCATAAGAGAGCTTTCATCGTTAATAAGTTTATATCTCTCTCAAAACAAATTGAAAGGAAACCCTCCTAAGTCATTTGGTCAACTTTCCAATTTAAAAATTTTTGATATGTCAGATAATTTTTTGGAGGGTACTCTTTCAGAGAAACACTTTTTTAATCTCACAAAATTGTTAATTTTAAATGCAAATGGGAACTCATTGATTTTAAAGGTTGATCTTGGTTGGATTCCTCCTTTTCAAATTCAAGACTTGGAATTAAGATCTTGGCATTTAGGACCACAATTTCCACATTTTCTTTCTTCACAAAAACACCTAACATATTTAGATATCTCAAACTCTGGAATAACATGTACCATCCCTAGTTGGTTTTTGGACTTGTCTCATCATTTGGGATATTTGAATCTCTCTCAAAATCAAATTCATGGGCAACTTCCTCATATTTATAGCTTCAATGAAAATCTACTCCAATTTGATATCTTAGACCTTTCCAATAATCTTCTATCAGGTTCCCTTTTCAACTTTTTATGTCATGGGGTCAATGAAACCACAAATCAAATGTTTATTCTCAATCTTGGTAATAATGTTTTGTCTAGAGAGTTACCAGATTGTTGGTCCAAGTGGCCACATTTAGCAGTCATTGTATTAGAAAACAATAGATTCACAGGAAAAATTCCAAGCTCCATAGGAACTTTACAATTCCTTAGATCATTGCATCTTCGTAAAAATAACCTTTCAGGAGAAATTCCTATGCCCATAAGGAATTGTATAGCTTTGCAAACCCTTGATTTTGGTGAAAATTGAATTGGTTGGGAACATCCCATCATGGATGGGTCATAATCTTCCATACTTGACATTCTTGAGCCTCCGTTCAAACAAGCTTTCAGGGCATATCCCTAGAGAGTTGTGCGCACTCAATTTTCTCCATGTCTTAGATGTTGCTCATAATAAGCTTTTAGGAAGCTTACCAAGTTGCATTGGTAACTTAAGTGCCATGGTTTATTCTACAAGCAGCTCATTTGGGAACTACATTGAGCACAATGTGTATTTTATTGAGAATTTATTTCTTGTGATGAAAGGCTAGTTTTATGAATATGGAAAGACTCTTAATTTGGTAAAAGTCCTTGATTTGTCAGATAATAGTTTATTTGGAGATATTCCTTGGGAAATAACTAAGTTTCAGGAGTTGCAATCACTAAATTTGTCACAGAACCTTCTCACTGGAAGGATCCCTCCAAACATTGGTGACATAAGTTCACTAGAATCTCTTGATCTTTCTGTAAACAAATTGCTTAGACCAATCCCTAAAAGCATGTCTAGATTGTCATTTCTAAGCTACTTGAACCTTTCTGGCAACCAATTGATTGGAAAAATTCCTTCAAATACTCAGTTACAGAGCTTTGATGCATCTTGTTACGTTGGAAATGAACTTTGTGGCCTTCCACTAATGGAGAACTGCAACAAAGTTAATCAAAGAGTACCTGGCATTGGAAATAATGGGGGGAAAGATATGGATTTAGATAAAGTGAATTGGTTGTTTATTAGCATGGCACTTGGGTTTATTTTGGGATTTTGGAGTGTATTGGGTCCTCTTGTGATTAGTAGCCAATGGAGGTATGCATACTATCAATATTTGGATGAGATGTGGTGGAAAAGTCAGTCATTATGGGAGTAGATTTTTCTAAAATCTTACGTAGTTTTATTTACAAGTGTATTTCTCTTCATGTTCTTGTGATATATTACAAAGCATAACCTCTCTGCTTTTCAGCAACTTTGTTTTGATTTTTTGTTATCCATAATGAAGCCGTAAAATATTTAAATATATAAGAAAAAAAAAATAGCAAACGCCTTTTTCGAGTTCGTCAGCTTAAAATTCAATACATACATCAATAAGAACATTATATTAATTGTGATTCAAGAAACTTAATGAAAATTAAAAGAAAATTAAAAAATATGTCCTTTTTTTTTGCTGAAAAACCTATTTAAATTGTGATACACTTAGGTGGAACCTAGAGACTATTGAAATTTTAAACAAGAAAAAAAAGTTAAGGAAGAAGATTGAGGATGTTGAGATAATACTTATCTAGTCCATAGATAAAGAGAGGCATAAGGTATGGTAATGTAGGCCCAGAAAACACCACTTGAAAGCTCCATAATTGAACAGAGGCAAACTGACTTTTCATTTTGTGGTTTAAAGTTTAAATGGAAGAAGATCCTTGAAATTAGCTGGCAGCTGCAATTGGAAAACTGAACAAAAATCCTACAAGCAGCGGAAATCTGAATAATCACATGCTTTAGCCAATTGGGATGTTTCATCAGTATCTCCTTCATATGTTAATTAGTAATATTTCCAATCTCCATTAGGGCACTGCTACCTCTTTATCCATATGATCTTACAGGGCATTGAAGTCCTTGTTTACACCCTCCAAAGCTTGCAGCACCAACACAAGAATTGAATGAAGCATTCTTAACATGGATTACTCACTTTAGAAACATGAGAAAGAAAATACAATCACAAATCGTGCTGCTCTGAGTAACAGTAAAAACGTGAAGAGAAGAGAAGAAAAAAATAATAAAATAAAGAAGAGAAACCCAAGTGTATGAGACAAACCCAGGCGTTCCACAAGAAAGATGCAACCTCACTCAATCTCCTACACAAGAAATTCTTCAAACATATAGGCGGTCTACAAGAAATTCTTCAAACAGATAGGCGGTCTCTAGTAATTTATATATAGTCAATGGTTTTCATGAAAGAAATGGTTCATCTTTTCTGTCTTTTCCTTTTTCTTTTTTCCCTTGGATGGTCTTTCCATGAAAAGCGTAACTTTGTGGATTTCCTCCATATCAAGCAACTATTCCTCTCAAAAGAATTAGAGGCTCATTTGAATCATTTCATTCCCCCCCAATCGGATTGTAGATCAAAATGAAGCCTTTTGCTAATAGATAGGCAATTCGGCAGCCAGCCCAACCAGGAATGGGCTAAGGTAGCTTAATATGGTTAAAGCAAAATGGGCTTGATTGGCTGTTAAGCCCAGTCATATTGTTTGATTTTCCAGCCTTGCCCATCCATTGTGTACCCTTCCCCAACATAGGTCCGCCACGTATGGTATGTGCCTCAAGTTGCATGCTATCACTTGAGAATAAAGTTTGCTTAACGAGAAAAAGAGTTAGCTTAGTGGAAAATTTTTGAGAACAAATTAGTTCCAAATGTAAGTACATTTTACAAAATAAATTATAAAGTTGCTTTCATGTTAGGTTGACAAAATTAAATTCGATGTACCTTTTAAGGGGTTTTGTACCTAACATTGCCCTCAACAAACAAATTCATCATACACATGTAAAGACAGAACATGCTGCAAAGGAAGACTCTACAATCCCCACCAACTTAATTTGTTAGCACTTATTATTTTCAGATGGTTAAATGCACAGTTTAATTCTTCAATTTTAGGGTTTTACACAGTTTTGGTACCTTAACTTTTTTATGCATTTTTTATCTCTCAACTATAAAAAATACACTTTTTTAAACTTTACATCAATTAGTCTGTTAGGTTTATTTATATATATACATTTTTAGTTCTTTAATTTTAAGATTTTGTACAAATTTTGTTCCTCAACTTAAAAGTTCAAAAAATAAAAAATGTGCATATCTAAATATACTTAACATATTAATTGATGAAATGATTAAATTTGCATATTTTTTTATAGTTGATCATTGTTTTAAAAACTAGATCAGACTGATTGGATGAATCGATCAAATTGACACTTAATATTATAAACGGATCGGATCAATATAAACTGTTAAACCATTGCACCAGACAATGTAAAGCTTTTCGAAAATTTTCCTTAAACTTGCTACCTTAGGTTTCGAACACAAGACTTATGGGAGATTTTAAATAACTTTTGCCACTAGGACGTTACCTATTTGATTGCAATGATTTGCTTACAATTTTATTTATTTTATCT